GAGGTGATAATAAGAAATTCAATGTGGTTTATGCTCAATGGTGCACCAGCGCATTATAGTAAGGTTGCTCGTGAGTTTTGGACAGAAACATATGGAGATCGCTGGATTTGTCGAGGTAGACCTCACTTGTGGCCTGCCCGATCCCCGGATTTTAACTCCCAGAATTTTTTCTATGAGGCCATCTTAAATCGTTAGTTTACATTACTCCAGTAGAAAATGTGGAAGACTTGCGAAATCATATGCTGTAATTCAGTAAGAAACGATCATGGTGTTTCTGAAAGGGTTCGGCAGTGAATGAGGAAAAGATTGGATTCTTGCATCTTAGCTGGAGGTGTTCATTTTCAACAGTTTTTGTAGATAAAATGTTGTTATTGAAACGAGAGCTCTAACTTACGAGTATTTCGACTTACGAGACATTTAAAATCGAAAGTTATAACTCGATTTACGTTATGTTACGTAATATGTATTGCGAAATATACCTTTTTGCTAATCAGCCAATCATATGGACATATGTTTTCAACTATTAACTGTTTTTCAAATTAGTATTGTGTATCGTGGGGCCATGCGACTGGTCCACCACGACGAATTCATCTTGCAGGAAAATGGTTGTCTAGTCAATTTCTTACCACCCTACCATGATAAGCTGCACAATCATCAAGTTGAAAAGAAAGGCTTTTCTTCTTAAAACCAAATCAATGTCATCCCACATATTGGCATGTTACATACAGCTACTAAAAATTATAAGAACAACTTAACCACTGCGGTGGTTAATTGTGGTGGCAAAAAGTATGGCGCGCAAAAATGATTATTATAAACACCTACCCAGACGTTGACACTAAATTCATGTTGGAAGTTTCGTGGCTGAATTGCGTAGGGATACCAAAACATGTAAAGTTTACAATCCCACGTCTTGTAAAACACGATTCATCGTTCCACATTACATTATTTAAAAAATCTGGATTGTTGGCTGATGCTTTAGCAATCCACCTGTTACACGTTACATGCCGTTCTTTATCGCCTGGTTGCAATCCTTGCAAGGGTTGTAAATGATAAGCATGTCTATGATCATGTTTTAAAAGCCGATAAAGACGCGCCCTAGAAATTCGTAAGACATTCGAAACTCTTCTAACACTCGTCGTGAGGTCTCTGTCGAACTCACGCAAAATTCTTCTAAAGTTTTTTGCTTGTTCAACTACTATGTCTATCCACTTTCACAAACAGAGAAGGATGCGGATATCTTCTATTTGGATATCTTCTATACTCTAGGGCTACTTCTGCTGAATTTCCGTTTGCAAACCCATAAACAAAATGAATATCCGCTAACTCTTGGTTAGGAAAAATAAACGGTATTTTGTTTGCTGCATAAAAACGTTATAAGTTTTTATGCAGCAAACAAAATATTAAAAAATGACACAATTAAGAAAAAGAGTAATGAATTTAGCACGTTAATAAGCAAGAAAATTGAATTTAACACGTTAACGAATAAGAAAAATTAATTTAACACTATTAGTGAAGTTACCTACTTTGTCAATGGCAAACAATATTATACCTATCTTTAATAATCCTGTAAAAAAATGGTTAATATCGAATAATAAAAAGCGGAATATCATGAAAACGATCAACTTTAGCACATTTTGATAAGAGTACCGTTTTTGCCTAAAAAAGTACCGAAAATAAGAATTTTTGTTCAAAAAGCCAAAAAGTAGACTGTCAGAAAAGTTATTGTTATTTTAATCCGTATGGAATACGTTACTCCATATGCCAGATTTGAAAAGAATCGGTTGAAATACACGTGTAATATTAAATAAAAATCAATTTAAAAATTTAATTTGAACATCCTGTAGCTCCAAAACAAAGCGTTTATGTTTATATGAAGTTTTTTTGTTAATTTTAAAAGATCTATCGACTGATAATGTCCTGCTACAAAAACCTGAAACACCTGTATAAAATAAATACTAAATGATTAGTACCAAAAATTTTAATGTAATACAAAATTAGTACATAAATACCACAAAATTATGGCACTATCAAAATGCTGATATTTTAAAAGGGGGGTGTAACTGGACGTCTTGCTACACCCCCCACTTTGATATACATAAAACATATATTAAATGATTAGTATCTACAAAAAATTTTAATGTCGTACGCAATTAGCACATAAATAGCACTAAATGATGGGACCATCAAAATGTTGATATCTTAAAAAGGGTACGTTACTGAACGTCCAGCTAAAACCCCCTCTTTGATATATACACTGTGTCCCGTATCTTCCGCATCAGAGCATTATACGGTTGTAGGATACATTATTCTGAAACGATTTTTCTAATAATTTTTTTTCGAAATGTTTATAATAACCGCACGGGAACTGTTTAGGTAATCCTAACCCTCGGCGCCGCCACCGCGCCGATCAAAACACGTTTCTCACGTGTACTTACCAATAGATTCGACACGCAAAGAGAAATAAACTTTTTTCGTGAATCAAAAGCGGAGAATTTTAAACAGTTCCCGTGCGGTTATTATAAACATTTCGAAAAAATTTTATTAGAAAAATCGCTTCAGAATAATGCCTCCTTCAACCGTATATAATGCTCTGATGCGGTACATACGGGACACCTGTATATAAAAAAGTACTAGATGATTAGCACAAAAATTTTTAATGTAGCAGAAAATTAGCATATAAATAGTACAAAATTATGGCACTATCAAAATGCTGATATCTTGAAAGGGGGGGTTGTATATCGTGGGGGGTTGTAACTGGACGTTCAGCTACACCCCCGCTTTGACATATACAGGGTGATTTATAACATACGGAGCAGATTAAAAGAGCAAGTCCTTGGGGCCAAACTGAAGATATTTTCTTAATAATGTTTTGACTACAACGTAATAATCACAAAGATATAGAGCATTAAAGTTGAATTAATTGCCCAGCATTTCTTACGATATACGGTATTACACTACGTTTAAATTCAAACTGCGAATATTTCGGGGTTACTTAAGCAATGCCTGATTAGCACCAATAATAAAATCTTTGTAATATGGCAGTTACGGCTATTTAAAAATTTGTTAAATCACTCAAAAACTGGTGTTTGTTTTTTGAGAACCGCTGATACCATGTTTTTATTGCTGTCAATCCAGTTGACTTGGTTACCTAGCAACGGACATGTCATTTAATTTTAATAATCAATGTCATTTAACGTCAAAATTAGAATTTTTACTAATCAAAAAATACAATGGTAATGTACAGTAACGAAGAATACGTAGATATGCTTATTATTTATGGAGCTGCTGGAGAAAACGCTGCACACGCAAGACGTCTGTATTTAGAACGATATCCAAATCGACAGATCCCTTCTGAAAACACTTTTCTTCGGTTAATCCAGCGGGGAAGAGAGACAGGAAATTTGCAACCTAAGAAAGGTCTTGGTGGCGGTAGACTAAACAGACATGGAGTGAATGTGGAAGAAGAAATTCTAGAAATTGTGGAAGCGGATCGAAGCACGNTTATATGAAGTTTTTGTGTTAATTTTAAAAGATCTATCGACTGATAATGTCCTGCTACAAAAACCTGAAACACCTGTATAAAATAAATACTAAATGATTAGTACCAAAAATTTTAATGTAATACAAAATTAGTACATAAATACCACAAAATTATGGCACTATCAAAATGCTGATATTTTAAAAGGGGGGTGTAACTGGACGTCTTGCTACACCCCCCACTTTGATATACATAAAACATATTAAATGATTAGTATGTACAAAAAATTTTAATGTCGTACGCAATTAGCACATAAATAGCACTAAATGATGGGACCATCAAAATGTTGATATCTTAAAAAGGGTGCGTAACTGAACGTCCAGCTAAAACCCCCTCTTTGATATATACACCGTGTCCCGTATCTTCCGCATCAGAGCATTATACGGTTGTAGGATACATTATTCTGAAGCGATTTTTCTAATAATTTTTTTTCGAAATGTTTATAATAACCGTACGGGAACTGTTTAGGTAATCCTAACCCTCGGCGCCGCCACCGCGCCGATCAAAACACGTTTCTCACGTATACTTACCAATAGATTCGACACGCAAAGAGAAATAAACTTTTTTCGTGAATCAAAATCGTCTGTTATTGGACAAAAGCGGAGAATTTTAAACAGTTCCCGTGCGGTTATTATAAACATGTCGAAAAAATGTTATTAGAAAAATCGCTTCAGAATAATGCATCCTTCAACCGTATAATGCTCTGATGCGGTACATACGGGACACCTGTATATAAAAAAAAGTACTAGATGATTAGCACAAAAATTTTTAATGTAGTACAAAATTAGTACATAATTATAGTAGTATCAAAATGCTGATATCTGAAAGGGGGGTGTAGCTGTAGGGACTTGAACAAATGTTCTCGTTAGTCGGGTTCTACTGTACTAGTATACAATGCCACCTGGTGGAGATATTAAAAACTTTTATTACAATAATCGATTTTAATCGACATTACAAACAAATATTATAAGAAACATTTTTGGATAAAAACAATCTGCTGTCCTTCTAGCGTGGTTTAGACCACTTTGGGTTCACGTCTCGTGCTGTTTTACGTAGTATTTCCGTATTTTTTAACAAAATTTTTCGAAATGTTTATATTAACCGCACGGAAACTGTTTAAAAAGTCGTCGTGTATACATGACACCAGTTCTCCATCTGATATCTTCATTTCTGATTCTATTTCTTAAGCTAATATCAAATTTAGTTCGCTCTTGTACTCACAGATAGCAACAAACTCAGTTGAGAGCCTGGCGCGCTCTCAATCGTCGTTTCACCAATACCAGGGTTCTTATTCAGGTTCTATCGGTTATCACCCTTACTTTCTTCTGTATAAGATAGCTAGGTTACAGTTTACTTTACGAAAATTCCGAAAATTAAACTATCTGATGTATAGTTATTATATATTTATATATGTATACATATAATTTATCAAAAATACTAAAAAATAATTTCTTGCAATTAGGCCTGCGAGTACAATCGGAGTAGTTCGTACCGCAAAAGCTGAACGTCGTTTACGCGATCAACTCCGAGACGAAGGTCTTTTAACCGACGATGACGAAATAAATGCGAAATCGCCAGCCGAAGAAAGAGCAATTCGTGCTGAAAAACGCGCCGCTTGGCGCCAAGCCCGTTTAAAATCACTCGAAAACGACGCAATCCAAGCTCAGATGGTCATCAAATCAATGGCCGACATGGTAGTTATGCCCGAAAATACTCAAGAACAACAAGAAATCGATAACGAAATCGAAGAAAAAACTCAAGTAAGTACATATATTAATTTTATAATTCAAATTATCTTTTAACTAAAATTTCTAAACTAAATTTTTTTATTTGGTGTAGAACAAATAAATTAAAATTACTAATGAAATAAAATTAATTAAGTTAAAATAAAAATTAACCGCATCTTGTATCTTTTTCTTTGTGTCTCTTTTTGCATGTTAAGTTAAGACCGAATTCGGGGGATTTCCCGAAGTTGTCGGTTCGAACGGAACCCGGAAATAAGACGGTTCGTGAAAGCGAAAAAGTGATCGATGAGAAAATAACGAGAAGAACCGAGGAGTATTTGGATGAAGTGACGGGGGAGAAAAAAGTCAGGACGGTGGAGTACGTGGAGAAATTGATCGAGAGAGAGGTATAGAGAGAGTGAAAAGCGCGTCTTGCATGTCTACAACGCACTGTTCTTTTTAGCCTTGCTACGGTTAGTGCAATCTATTAGATTACTTTTTTTTTAATCAAATCAATCTAAACGTTGATTTTATTTATTAGCTTAAATTTAGCTTGGGTTTCTTCCTTTTAGTTTTGTAGTTACTTAGTTTATTAAACACTTAAAATATTTATTTTCTAAGTTTCTATTTGATTATAGGTTGAAACGTTACAAGAAAAAATTATTTCTTTAGAATTAACAGACCAAATCGAATCGAACCAAATCGAATTATTAACTGAAATCACAACGTTAGATATTTGCGTAAACGGAAATAATAACGTTAACGTCAATAATATCGATAATATCGACGGTAGTATTAATAATAACGTAAAAAACGAAACTATTTTTAATAAAGAAGACGACGACGAAGACGATTTAACAACAACATCCGAACCAACGACACCTTCAGTTGAGGAATCAAAAAATTTAGAGGGATTGGTTGTTAATAATGGAAAAAAGAAGAAAAGGAAGAGATCGAAAAAGAAAAATCATTAAACAAAATAATTAAAAGAAAGGACACTTTTATTATTAAGTTTTAATTTTAATTCGTAAAAGGGTACTTTTTGATTTTTTTTTTTTTGATGATTTCTTAATTGAAGGTTCTTTAATTTTTGTTGGGTTAAAAGGATGAATCATTCCCGGGGCAAGTAACACTAAGAAAAGGAAAAAACATCACTTAATGGTGGTAGGGTGTTTTTTTAAAATATTTTTTTAAACGTATTATATGCAATTATTGAAGATAAAATTAGATTTAAGGAGATATATAAATTTATATATGTACTAAATTATTTTTTACTTTTAGGTAATTGTACAAAGTATTAATAGCTATAATTATTATTAAATATTAAACAAAATACTAGGAATTATAATGATAATAATTATAATAATCATAGTGATAGATAGATTTCTTACAATGTTAGATTTATTTCTTTTTTTGTTTCAATTTTTTTTGTAATAAGAATTATTATTGACAGTTCTTTTTATTAAGTGGTGGTATTATTGATTTAAAACCCATGGTAAATAAGATAAAACAAAAAATCACATAGATTATTACAAGTGTGCTTTTTTAATTAAATTTTGATGTTTATTTATAAGATTTATAAAAAAATAGATAAATATTATACAATTTAATTTTTATTTCAAATCCTTAAATTTAAATTCCTTGGAATCTAATCAAATCTCATAAATACAACTTACACATTAATACCCCCTTCTCTTCCTTACAGTTATCACTTCCCCCATCCAGAAGCTCTATGAACAAAAATTTAAAAAGAAAAATGGAACTAGAATCCTGCCACGTCCTCGTCGTTAGTTCTGGGTTACGCAAAGTGGAGACAGGAGAGAAAGAAATACCATGAACGAAAGCGTTACAAAGAAGTACAAATGATTCACTCTCGAACCACATCGACCGTTTTGCGATATCTGTAATAAATTAATTAATAACTTAAATTAATAACGCAGATACACACTTTCAGCGGTATTTTCAAAAATCGTTGTATTTTGGAATAGGAAGAGGTACAAACGAAAACAAAAGTGGTATAGTCTCCGATATTTCTGGTGGTTTTTATGACCCTCAGAAACAGTAGTGGCAGTAATTATCACCCGGAAAAAGTACCTGGACATGATTTATGATAGGTCCTCCTAGGGAACTAGGTCCAGGGACGCACTTAATAATAATAATAATTTATTGAGCCAAATTAGAAAAAACAAAATACAATAATAAGGAAAAGTACAATAATATTAAACTTAAATTATAGCTCAAAGGGTGCAAGGGCAGAAAAGGCAAAACAATGCCACTGATTTTACTTGCACCTAATGAGAACAGCAGCAGAAAATAAAATAAAAGTTAAATCAAATCAAAACTGAGCAGTATCAATGAAAATGAGATAATAAAAATAAAAACAAGCAGTTAGGATTATTAAATTACCAAAAGAATCAAAAGCAACA